GTTGGGGCGAGGGACATCGTCTTTTCGGGTGACTGCTAATTCAAGTGTTAGTATAATAGGGAGGTGGTCCGTTTTGGGGCCTCGTTTCACTGGTTCAGTGTCACATGCAATGACGGCGTCGAGAGTGCCCTCTGTGCCTAGAACATTGTCCGGCCGAGTCCAATTGCCAGTGCTGTTGGATTGGAGGGTGGGGATGCCACAAGGGAGTAACTGTAACATACCATAATCAGCGATCAGGTCAATAAGCGGTTGAGAGAGCGGATAGTTAAATAAGTGGCGGTTACGAATGTCCTCCCACATGGGGTGATGGCGGTTGAAGTCGCCCAGCCATAGCATGTGGTCATCTGCCGTTGGACGAAGCAGAGCGATGTTCTGGCTGAGGAAGGTCTCCATGGCAGTTAGGGTATTCTGGTGGGTGCAGTCGTTATATATATTTACAATGGTGCATGCACCGAAGTCACCGGTCATTTGTACAATAACAACGTCGGATGATGGGAATGGGATTTGTCGCCACGTGTTCGTGTCAAGCGAGGTGTTGACGAAGGTGATTGCTCGTGAGCGTTCCTGAGGGTGAGTGAGATGGTTAGTAGGATATAGGACATGCCAGCGGTGGCTGGCGCGAGTGTTACGAAGGAAGTTAATATATGGTTCCTGAATTATTAAAAGATCGTGGTTAGTGATATCCTGGCTGTTCATCAGCAACTCTTGAGCCGCTAACGAGGCGTTCAGGTTTTGCTGCCAAATCCGAAGACTGCCAGGGGCGGGGTTGGGTTGTTCAGACATTAGGGAGGAGTGAGTTAGGGCTGGCAATGGGGGTCGTGTAGGTGGACATCGAGGGAGTAGGTGATGACAACGGGGTAGAGAGGGATGTCGATGTCGAGGGGGTTGATGGTGTCGCAGGTGTGGACGTAGATGAGGGGGTTGAGGGGGGGTGAGAACTCATTGGCGGGGCAGATGCACTCGCAGTTGGCTGCAAGGGGTCGATTCGTTTGAAGGGGAGAGTGGATTGCTTGCTGGGTAGTGGCTCGCTTGTGTTGATAGCGGGGGGTGGTGTGTGCGGCTCTGCGGTGCGAGTAGAAGTAGAACGATTGGGCGTCAAAGTTGGTGCCCTTGAGGAACGGATGGTTGGGTTCCAGGTGGAGCTGGTAGGGAAGAAGGGGAGTTTGTTCTCCGGGTATTGTTCGTCTAAAGTTTTGCAGCGACGGATGAATTCCGGACACTTGCGACTCCAGCTGGTGTGGTTTTGGCTCTTGCAGTTTACGCAGCATTCGGTTCGGAACGCATTGCACTGTTTAGTCCAGTGTCGGCCACTGCATGTGCCACAAACGTCGTGAGGAGAGGAGCAGTTGTGAGCCATGTGTCCAAATTTCTGACATTTGGCGCAGCGTAGGGGTTCCTTGTGGTCCTTATTGACGGCATAGCGATGGGCATCAATACATATGCCCTCCTTCAGGATGTTGTTAGCGGTTTCGACGTCCTTGATCTGGAGGAGTGCGAAGGCGGTGCGTTGCTCTCTTGTACGACGTTGTGGGGGCTTGATCCAACGGATGGATGCTATCGAATTGGGAGGAAGGTGGTTTTCAGCTTCGATGTGACGAGGGAAGTCATCGCGTTCTATCTCATAAGTGATCAGCAGGAATTGAATTACGATGGAATAGGTCCTATCCCGTATGCATGCCGGCGAGTCCAGTTGAGACTCGAGCAATATTCGGCCAGTAGGGCCTTTGAGCCAGCCCGCTAGTTGTTCATTGTCGAGCTCCACTATCAGACCTCCATTACGAAGGCGCTGGACCGCGCGGACTGCGCCTGTTGGGGTTCCCTCGCCACTTATTACAGAGAGGATATCAGAGATGCTCTTAGCTATGGTGGCATTGGTGGCTTCTGCCGGGAAGAGAGAGTGGCCCAGCGTTGGGTCAAGCAATATCTGTTTGGCTCGAAGAGATGCTCTGGCTACCGCTTGGTCAATGGATGGGGGGAGATTGGCAGCTGCTATTGAACTGTAGGTAGGGAAGGCTGGGGGAGTGGCTGTTGGCTGTATGGTAACTGGTGAGGGTTGGGAGAGCTGAGTCGCGAGGTTGTTGAGACGGTCCTGAGTGAATTCGAGGGACGGTGTGAGGAGCTTGTAGGAGTTATTGCAGTCCTCGATGGATTCGTATAGGGTGTCCACCGCATCCTCGATGCGTTCGGCTGCAGTTTTGAGATCATTCTTTTCTTCCTCTTTTTCCCTTTCTATTACATCATGAAGTTGCTTCGATTGTGCTAACGTTCCTTTCAAAGATTCTGCAGTGGTGTGTATGGAGGCTACTTGAGGGGCGATAGCAGCTATGACACTGTTCACGATGTTGGTCGAGAGGGAATTCGTAAGTTGGTCGGCTGCCGCTTTGGCGACTACATCTGCTATTTCCGAGGCGGCTTGCTGTTTGAGAATGAAAGCTACAGCTCTGATAGCGTTGGTGACGGCAAGCGGGATGGGTTTGGCCATTTGGGTGACTTGGAAAAGGATGCCCGCCAGGTGGAGCAGGGAGAGAGGTTCGTCAGCCTGGCGAAGGAGAACACTGGTGAGATACTTCTCAGCTGAGTCCAAACCCGTGACTGCTCCTGGTAACGCCTCAATGTCGTCCTGCAGCATTTGATTCCTTTGGGCAGTGGGGTTACGATTAGTTGTGTGGGGTAGCGTAGTTGACTGGTTCTTTTTCTCTGGCGCTTTAGTGGGCGCCATGAGTCGTAGAGTCTGTCTGTTAGTGTTGTTCACGGTTTATATACTTATTTGATTGTTTTTGGGGTTTTCTGGAGTATGTAGATAGAAGAGAGAGGTCTAAGAGTTAGTATGGATGCGCGAAGGCGCCGTTTGGCAGCCTTGACGCTGTTGAGCGCGATGTTGAAATTTGAGTTTCGGGGTCCTAGTTGGGGTGCCACTTGGTTCAGGTCCAAGAAGCGATCCCGTGCTTATTTGATGCAGCCTACCAGGCTGACTTGACAAGGGACGGGAACTGGTCGGCTGTAACTGCCTCAAATGCAGTTCCAGCCGCGTTTGGATTCGAAGAACGAATTCGCCCGAATATTGCAGCGAGATGGAAGAGGGCGGGCGAGTTCTCGTCGAGGTTGTTTAAGATGGAAATGCAGTGATTAGGCGTTTACACCACTCCATGTTAGAATTAAGAGCCATGACGAACCGTAGGTTAGCATCATCATGATCTCGCCAATAGTTGAACTTGACATCGGGAGCCAATGCGTACTATTTGATGCTGCGAAAGACGGACAAAACATAGCGCCGAAATATGTACATAGAACTACAAGAACTATACGAATCACTACGACGGCGAACGTGTTTTGGTCGACTAATTGGATATGCGCTGACGATGGTACCCGGATCTACAGTCTATGGAAAGACCTTATGCAGACTATCGAAGAGAGGAATATGGAACGTGTCACAGAAGCCAAGAGCGCAGTGGAAGATGCCCAACACGAATGGCGCCGCAAACGAGAGGAGAGCGACGAGAAGTTTGTTCTTCGCTACTTCGAGAGACACGACGGACGGTGGGAGCCTAAACTCGAGTAATGCCATTTTGTGCGCTTCTACATGACCTCTGCTGATGCCTCTCTTAGGATCCCTCGATATGATTCTTCTGAAGCTATACTAGATGCAGTGCAGACCTGAATATGGCCTCCCAAGGCAGAATCGCGTTGACCTGTCATACCTTTTCATTTTGACATTTATCTGCTTCTGCTTGGTTTGCGTCTCCCATCATATTTACATCTTATCCAACGCAGTTGTAACACAATGCGCATCCGTTGGATTGTACCTGTAGCAAAAATTGAAGGGTATATATATAGTACGCAGATGGATCCAATGAGTACCAGATGTGAAAATGAATGAGTTTATAGAAAAGGAAGGGCAAAACTAGGGCTAAAAAGCAAGGCCATCAAATAAATCAGGATATCATGAGGTCGAGCAAGTGCAGATTGTATTGAACGAGTTACGAGTGACAGCCGTCGTCATCCGGTACGATTGAAAATGTACTTGGCGTCGGGATGCGACTGACCGCGAAGAACATTGAGAAGTGAGCGAGACGACAGATTGAGGTCGATATGATGAGATGAGTCGCCTGGACTTGGGAGTGGCAGGTACTGCTGCATAAGCAAGATGGGGAAATCTACGGGGCGCACGCATTGAATCCCGAACGGACGGAGATGATTGGTGAGGAGGATCGCTACGAGGTCGGTGAGAACCATTCATCTGCGCGACTGGGGTACTTGATCTGTCCCCAGAAAAGACGGTACTTGAACGCGAATCAGGAGGAGAGGGTAACTCCGTATGCCCAATTTTGGTATACGAGGACGCTATGGATGGGGTTGGAGTCGCCTTGGCCTTTGAAAGGTCACTCTCAAGTCGAGCGACTTGAGCTTCAAAATTTGCAACCTGATCGTGTAACTTTTGCTCTCGGTCCTGCAGATCAGACGTCAATCAGGATGTGGCGCGCGGGGCTACTGTAATTCCCACCTTAACAAAGTGGCCCTCCGCTTCCTTAAAGTTCTTCCAGTTGAAGGTTTGCAAAGGAATACCCCGCATCAAGTTGAGCATCAGCTTGCTCCACCTCGTCAAGCCTAGTACGTGTCATCTCCAAGTTACTTTCATACTCTTTCGCGCGATTCTCCCACTCAGAGGACCGCCATTGGGCTTGGGTCAGGTTCTGTCTGGCGGCGATTGCGGTGCGTTCAGCATTGTAAATTTTGAGTTCTTGGTCCCTGAAGCGCTGCGTGTTCGCTCTCGAGAACACGACTCGTGCGTCGGAGTTTCGTAAGTTCCTCATTGCCAGCCTGGCTCATAAGGGTAGTGAGCATGCTAATTTGCTCACTCGCGCGATGGAGCTCATCCCAATGGCTCTGTTGTGAAAGCCCTAGAGGTGTATGATCGCGGGGCTCACTCGAACATCCCTTTGTGCTTTTGAGGAGTCCGCTCCTTCGTCTTCTATCATGGGAAAGTGTTCATTGCACCTATTGCCTGCTCAATTCCAGCAATGAGTGAACGTCCCATTGGGGGTTGGTCTAACCCTAGAAGGGTTCAGCATCGTGATAAAGTTAAAAGGCGGACTTAGAATACATCCACGGCCGCTGGCGTCCCGATGTTACGGAATGCAAATATGGCCTGCCAATAGTGCTAGGAGAGGGAGCAGAAAATGCATCTGTTACCGAAACTTGGTCAACCTGCGGCGGCGATGATCGAGAAAGAAACCTACCTTGGATGCGCATTGCGCAAGTGAAGCTCCTTAGGAATGTGTAGCTTTCAAGAACGAGCTAGTAGAGTCAAATGGGTTTCCATCGAAAGACGAGCTCGATGTCGAAGCTTTATCTTTCCACGCAGTATCATTCGGTCCAGATAGATCTTTTTCACCAAGATCTGCCAGCAAAAGTTATATTGATATCATGTCAAGCGTGATATCAATCCTGACGCACCAGTACAGTTGTTCGTTGTTTGCGCGATGTCGACGAAAAACAGCTTTCAGCTTGACAGGAGCATCTTTGCCTGAGCGCACACTATTGTCGCAGTTGGAAGGCTCATTAGGTGCCAGATCAGAAACTCCCGTTGATGTGGTCATGGATGCCTGCACCAAACGGACAGCACCAGTAGCAACCTCGCGCTCGTACCACTCATCAGCATCCTGGAGAGGGATAGACTTGACCCCATTAGTGAGATCGTGCATGCTGGATTCCATGACATCATTGAACTTTGCAGTCTTGTTGCGCTGAGTCCTACTTTTCCCACTGCGAGAAGATTCGGTATTCGCAGCTTCCATCTTCGTATGAAAGGGGTCATCGCAGGCCTTCAGAAGCTTCCCCGTCTGAGGATCACGAGTGACCACCTGACTGCAGCCCTCAACAGCGCAAATACTTTCGAGAGTTTGGTGCTCAAGGCAGTACCTACAGCGGTGGGTCATCAATGGATTTTTGCACCGTGGTATGGCACGACAAGGCCGTCCGACAATGACACCATCAGTCACGATGACTTCAGTGGACGGCAGCAGGCCATCAGGTGAGGTGAAAACTCGCATGCACCCATAGCATGCATGGGGGAGTTCTTCTTGACCATGGGTTATGATCTGTTCGGTACGTGCACCCATAGCTGCTGTATAGCGATCTTTTTGGTCTCCGTCATGGGGAACTTGAAGCCGTCCACCTTGCATCTGCTGGTGATCGAGCAATGCAACAATAACGAATGCATCCCAGACCTCTCGTGTCGTCAGCAAAGTCAAGAACTGCCATGATTTGTCACGCTCTGTGCTGCTACGAGCTTGAGCGATTTCATATAGGCGTGAGTTGGTTGCTGAAACACTGCCAAGGATAATATTAAACATGGGTCACGAAGTAGTTAAGAATACTTACGCAATTTACATAAGATCAATCCGTTGCAGCGCCAACTCAAGCTCAACAAATTGATGCTCCGCGACCTGTATGTGCGATGGCATTCCACCATAGTACGTGCGGGTCTTGTTTTTGACACTATAATTATGATGGTAGTTGGTATTGCACGCTGATCGAGAGTCAGCCAAAATCGTTGAATTTAAATGAGAGAATCACACCTCCACATGTCGGGTGAATAAACCATGCGGGGTGGGCACCACTTGCATGCGTGAAAACAACAACGCATCGTTCTAAAAATCGAGCATTGAATAAGAGTTAGTCAGCGCATACCATACAAAACTCGGAGTAGATGACTTACCCCAAGCTGATCTGATGTCAACGTTCCGTAGTAGGCATTGAACTCATCCGTTGTCCCACTGCGCTTGGTCTGCTTGAGCCAACGTAGTGCACATAAGTTCCTGTTGCAAGATATGAGCGAATACTGAGCGAAGCAAGATTGATGCACTTGCACTCACCGTCCGTTTTTCGTGTTACCTGGGCGCATTTTTGCCTTGCTCCCCATCTTTGAAGTTTTCCGTTTCAATCAGTGATATCATCAGGAGGTATGTGTGGATTATTATCGGGGGCGGGAGGCTCGTTCTGATCAGCGAAATCATCAGGAGGCTCATTCCGGACAGGAAAATTGTTGGGAGGCATGGGTACATCATCTATCTCATAATTATTAGTGCATACTTCGACGTATTCACTGGCCAGACATACCAGATTATCAAAATCATCACTCGTTGTGGCGTCCATATTATCCGAGTGGTGGTTCTGTTGACTCGGCTGCGACTAGTCCATCGAGGTAGTTTGAGCACATTTTCGGCGTCTAAGAGCTAGTTCGGCAACTCGATATTTTCGATATTTTTCAATATTTGCTTTGGCATGTTTGCGAAAATGTTCACCGGCATCGTTCCGAGATGTCGGAGCTCGAACCTTGCTTCTCTCCTACTGTACATATTATCAATGGATGTATACCCTCATCTAACCCTAGAGCGGCGTAAGAGGCTTTTTGCTGGTGCGGTCGCAATCACTGCGATCTGTGCACAGTACACTACTCTTCTCATGGCCCAACCTGAAGTCAATGCTCCCCCTCACTCCAAGGCCCCACCAGCGCAGTGGAATGATGTCGAGACTGTTACCCTTGTAGACTATCTCTATGATCATCGCTCAGAGGCTGAAGGGGCAGGCAACTTCAAGCAGCAGGTTCTTGGCTCTGCTGCAGAGTTCATCAACAATCATGAGGCGCTTCAATCCACTCGCGCAGGTCCACTGAAGACAGCGAAATCAACTCGAAACAAGTGGACATCAGTAAGCCCTATTTGATCTCATCTGATCTAAGCTGACGAGTCTCATCTAGCTTAAAAACATATTTCATGCTATCGAGAAGTACCGCAACCAGACAGGGGTCCACTGGGACAATGAGACTGGAGCTGGGATTGAAGGAACTGCGGCTGCGGCTGTATGGACATCGTATGTCAAGGTATGTCCCCTCTTCGTCATATTGATTTGAGCGCTGACTTTTGTCAGGCAAATAACCTCATGCGTCCTTTCCGCAACAGGGGATGGGAGCATTATGAAAAAATGCAGACCATCATCCCATTGGGCGGCGCTAGAGGGCGGCACGTCTTCCGTCCAGGTGGCGCTGCTCCCTCCACCACCAATGCTGATAACGATCTTGCGGATGCTGCTGGCCCATCAAGCACTGCTGCTGTTCCTGCTGCTCCAAGCGCTGCTGCTGTTCCTGCTGCTCCAAGCGCTGCTGCTGTTCCCGCTTCTGCAGGCCCATTAAGCACTGCCGCCACCCGGGGGACCGAACCATCTGGAAAGCGCACGTATCTTGAATAGAACGGGTCCGACGTGAAGATGATAAGCATCTTGCGGAAATAACTACATACTATTAGATACTGTCACTTGAAATAAAATAAAATAAACTCACCGTGAAATCGTTTCGTTCGAGCGTTGAAATCTCTCCGCAACATGCCTGATTGATAGGCCAGTCACAGAGGTGTAAAGAAAAATCGCAAGTTGTTCCTCGAGGGACACAAACTTGGAGTCTGAATGGCCCATGGTGCGAAGCTCGGAGATAAGCTCCACAAATGCATTGGCGCGCATGCCAAGCTCACACCTGATGCGCTCTGGGTGACCAGTGAGCAACTCGATCACCCAGTCTTGCCCAGTTAGCGCTGAAGTGTGATAGGGCTCGGGATCTTTGGGATATATTGATTGTAGGATGCCGTGCGTAGAAGCAACAACGATGCTGATTACGAGTACCATGCATTTGAGGAGTCGTTCCCGGACCTCTGGCTGAGGATTCGTCATGAGCGCTGCTAGGCGTTGGCGCTCCATCGCGAACCCCAGTGGTTGGGGATCCATCAAGGTATATACCCTACCCTCATTATCACTGATCTTGTTGATAAGCTCAAATTCAAGCTCCGAATCGCCTTGGACTTAGGGGGAGCATTGACTTCAGGTTGGGCCATGAGAAGAGTAGTGTACTGTGCACAGATCGCAGTGATCGCGACCGCACCAGCAAAAAGCCTCTTACGCCGCTCTAGGGTTAGATGAGGGTATACATCCATTGATAATATGTACAGTAGGAGAGAAGCAAGGTTCGAGCTCCGACATCTCGGAACGATGCCGGTGAACATTTTCGCAAACATGCCAAAGCAAATATTGAAAAATATCGAAAATATCGAGTTGCCGAACTAGCTCTAACACGTCTTGCGTCTTTGTTCTTGCGCGCTCGTTTGGCAAGCATCTGTATTGTGGCTGCGCAACGAGAACCGGGAGGCAGAGAGGAGCCAGAAGCTACTCAGATGTGCAATGATAACCATCAATCTATATGCATAGTAACTTCGATTCACCTCTCGAAGTTAGACGAAGTGCACTTCAACTGACTTCGAAACAATGAAGTCAACCGAATTCTCACGTTTTCGACGCGAAGCGAAGTTACCTCGAAGGCAACACTAACCGAAGTTGTGATAACCGATAGTACCACAGATGCTTTATGGACGCAGATCATCACGCTGATTACGGTAATGAACAGCTGTGTGCATGGAACCCCTATCACAGATACTTATCGTACCACTTGCATATTCCAACGGGCAAATATGGTCCCAGACCCTAGCTTACTATGTCAGCCTTTCATTCAGCCTTCTTGCGACGTTCGGCGTCGTTTTGGGCCAGCAGTGGCTTCGCATCTACAAGCTTAAACGGTTCAGGTGTGGTTCCCTCAAGGAGCAGGACAAGAGCAGACGACATATGTTCCCTGTTCACGTACGTATGGACGTGACAGCAAATCATCATGACCATCATCGTTGCAGCCACGGTGATCGGTTACCTGTTCCACTGGTGCACCCTCTTTGCATATATTTTATCCCTAGATTGCCCCTTCCAAACGCCAGTGTAGTGGTACACCTTAGCAGGTGTAGGCGGGTCGGGCGCAGAGCAGAGCAGAGGCCGGCGTGAGATAAGCAGAGCAGAGGTGCCAGGGGGTTCGTCAGTTCCCGGGGTCTTGGTTATTGGCAAGCAACAATATTAATCATCATAGCAGTTGTCCTTCTCGTCTCAAGAGCAACTAATTTCATATTGGGCATTTCTGGTGCCTTCACGTGGCCAGTAAGCATGGTCAGTAAAAGAACGACAAAGACTTGCACACACTAGGCGCAAGCTTTCGCTCTTGCCTCCGCGGCATTAGAGCATCCATCTCGAGCCTCGTACAACGACTATTCGGTCTCAAGCCCTCCAGCGACATCGGGACAGAATATGCCACAGATCCAGACCACATTACAAGCGCAGCCTCACTCATTCCCACCATTACATGGTCACCGAACTCAGACATTGTGTCTTACTGTCAGCAGCTTCGAGACGCATTTTCAGCCTGTTTCGACGCTGAAGGGTGACTCGGACCTTAACAGAAGATAGAGCGGTCAACTGTGGGCGAGCTTTGAATCATTTGTATCTGAGTGTTCTGCCAATTCCAATTCCCGAACTGCTTCCCAGGAGTTGAGAATTTGGCATTAGTGGCGCAGCGTCATTCTTCTACGAAGCTTTGACCAGTGAAAGGCCCTTGCCTGCCAATTGTCCGACCGGGAGAGGGAAACATGTCGGGCAGATGCATATGCGCTGCATTGCGCATGGTGATCGCTGCTGGGGACGGATTCATCCGTCCAGACCACGACTCTATCATTTGGCGGGGCCAATTCATGTGGACCGGCGATCGTCGTACAGCAGCTGATTTCGATTGCTGGTCGACTGCCGAGCGCTAAGAAGGGAGTTGTCACTCGTACTCCAGAATCTGTTTGCCTGAGCGCGCTCATATTTGCCATGGAATCATCTAGCCTTGATCATCTATGCTATGCAGCTTCACGGGCTGTTTCGGACTCTCGACCGGCACTCGCCGACATTGATGCCATACTATGATACGGGACGAGAATATATGCCAGAAACTCCTCGCAAAATTTGCCCCTGTTCTTCTAACGGCCATTTGTCCTGTTTGTCCTGCTGAACATCACGAAGATGGCGAACCCTCTCGGAGGACCAGGGCGTAAGCGCAGCCCTTTGCCTCCTCCACATGCTGCACCCACTCCAGCCCCAAAGGGGAAGAAGGTTGTGGTAAATATACCGGTGGAGACAATCCCTGTGATGTCGCAGAATTGTCAATGCGTCCGCCATGGGCACGAAGGCCGGTAGTCGCAACGAACGTGGAAGAGCCAGAGGTTATTGCGCCTGAGATAAGCTCTATCCACCAGATTCATGGCGGCAAGACATCCCTGATACGATGAACGCGTTTCTTTCTGGAAAGGTGCGCAAGCCTCTCAGCTTCTCCAACACAGCGTTTGACACTTCCACAGGCTGCGTGGGACGTTATAAAGCTGAATGTTATCGAACAGAAGCTTGAGAAGTTGGATGTAGAGAGAGAGAGGTTCAGGAGGTACCCTTCCTATCCATGCTCCTCATACGCGTACATCATCAGTATGTGTCTTTTTTTTATCTCACATATCAATTTCCTTACGGCGCGTCTTGACGTGTCTAAGATTTCATCTCCTGCAGACCCATGCCTGTGGCACTTTGCAGCAGTCACAGACTGCATCTTCACTGAATTCTCTGTCACATTCGCCTCAGCCACAACTCAATTTATCTCCCTCTCCACATCAACTTCCTCCACGATTTGAAAATAGGCATAGGCATAGTCTGTCTCTTGCACGCCCTCCGCTCCACAAAAAATTCTACATTCCAAGCGCATCATTCAATCTTTTTGGGCCGAACGCAATCCTCGGTTCCGACCGCATCGAAACAAACTTATTTACCGAGCCATTCCCTGTTCCTATCGAAGGTATTCATGCTCCACAAGGTCGCGTTCCAGTTTCTGTCCCATCTCTTATTCCTCCCGGTATCTCTCGCGAAAGCAGTCGTCCTGATTTCATACGTGGGTTTGGCCTTGACATCCCGGAGGAGGAAGAGCTTCCAGAAGAAGAAGTACTCGCTGACACATACGACAATGCTGCAATTGATATCGATGGTCAAGATTCAGAAATTCAGGGAGAGATGCGACGACAGTTGCGCTGAGCAGGTTGCAT